AAAAATTACTAGGATTTTTTTTTTTTTTTTGGCCTACTTGGATTTGATTCCAGGTCCCCAGAATGATATCCTGGATGATGATGCCTTAATTGTCTTGGCCAGGGGTGGCCAACAATTTTTGCCCCCGGGTTGAATTGGAAAGAAGACTTTTTCCACGGGCAAACCAGAGGCTGCTCTAGGAAGATTTTGAGGTGGTGTGAGATCTCATTGTGGTGTCACCCAGTAGAGACTAAATTGTATATAGAGATTACAGATACATTTTTCACATTATCATGTTTTATCAATGTTCTACGCTGTACTCAAGAGATTTGTAATGGAGCGTTAACTCTAAATGCATAGTGAGTTGTTGTTGATTCTTTTTTTTTTTCACCGAGCTATTCGGACTTGAGTGGCTAATATTGAAAGATTAATCGCGGGCCACATAAATTCATTAGATGGGCCGTTTGTTGGCCATGCCTGGTCTTGGCTATCTAGCTAATAACTTTAAACTTTATAAGTATGGTAAATTATGCTTTTTTTACCTAATCCATGTCATTCTGTATAATGTCACATCAATGTGATATTGTCTATTTTTACTAATTAACATTTTAAGTAACAAATATTTATTTAAATCATTACTACAGTAGTCTCTCGTTATATTGCGCTTGTCGGAAGACATGTAAAAAGCACGATATATCCAGCGGCGCAAAGTAACCGAGTACTAAAAATTCTAGGCTTTTTCTAAACAGATTATACATGCTATGGAATCTCTATTCTCTATTCTTTCATCAGCAAGTGTTTCTGATATAAAATAAGATTAGTTTTATAATACTGAATTTTATTCTTAGTTATATCGATTAATTGACGTTTACATAAACAGAACACCCATTTAGCGTTATTGTTTTTTTAACAATGACATTTAAAGACAAATAATGTGGATATAAAAACAAAAATTGGTTGCGATTTTATTATACAGTACTATATTTCACAATAAACTGATTATTAAAAATTTTTATAATTTTCAAAAAAAGTTATAAAGACGGCAATAGAAAATTTAAAAAATAAATATTGAACATATAATACAACATCAAAACTTATAAAATTACAGAGTAAAAATTCTCTAAAAAGCAAAATAAAGTTACTGCTGTGTAAAAATTTGAGATCTTTCTGTTCAGAAGTAAAAGATAAATGTTTTCCTTAACCATTACCCAATGAATTCGAAATTTCTCACCTTTGTGTGAATTGACGGTATTGAGTCAGTTCACATAAATATGAAATTTCGAATTCACAGAAACTTGTAAAAGGAGACCAGTACTTAAAATCAATAAATAAACAACTTTTCTCTTACTTGTTAGCATCTTATAATTACTTATTAATTTAATTTATCCTATTTGTTGATTTAAATTTATTTTAAAATATTTTCTTTCTAGCATAAAAAGCCCAAACGTTGATCAACATCCTGAACGGAGAATGAAGGCGGCATTTCAAGCCTATGAAAGTGTCAACTTACCTAGACTTAAAGCAGAAAATCCAAATTTGAGGTTATCTCAGTTAAAGCAAATGTTAAAAAAAGATTGGATGAAATCCCCAGAAAATCCCTTTAATCAACAAACAGCTCCTTATAATTCAAAATCATGAAGCATATAATTAAATAGTTTTCAATTGAGTTTAAATCAGAAATTATAATGTAACATCATTTATTAAATTTAAATTTTTTTGTGGATTTCAGAATCATATTTACTAAAATATTTNTAATTAATCAGTTTGTAGCTTCAAAAGTTTGTCCAGCTTTATTGTTTAATTATATTAATTACTTTAAAAAATTTTCTTATCAGTTCTCAATCAGTTTTATAACATATACTTAATATTAGTAAATAGTTGGATACTTTTTTCTGTAATCAGATTTACATTTCACATATTTAATATATGATACAAACTGTAAATATTATTCTTATTAACCTTTCAGCAGTGGGTTAGTCAGGCATGGTGCTATCCCTATGTAGTGGAGAATAAATGTGGGAAATTTTTAAAGTATTTTTCTATGCATTTTTTTCTCATTACTGTTTAGGAAAAAGATTTCTAAACAGTTATGTCTAGTAAAGAAAAGTCTTTTTTTATTGTTACATAATTCCTTTTTTATGTGAAATTTTTTTTTTGGCAATAGTTTTTGGCGATATACACAAAATTCTTTTGCGGATGTATCCATCCTTCACCACTGCCACACAATCGCCCTTGACAGATATATCTGTCGGTCACTGCTTAGTGGTTAATGGAAATTTGTTATTTTTGTAAATTTGATGTTTTCAACTTAATCCTATATGGCTTAAGAATGAAGAACAGAGTTAGATAGATGAAATCCAAGACCAGCTATGGAAACCTTTGGGGCAGGAGGCCCCGATTAACTATATGCAAACTTCTGGTGCAAACTGGAAGTCATGTTTTTTCAAAGCTAATTTGAGGTGGAGAGCTATATTTAAAATTAAATAAATTAAAAATATGATTAAAAATTGCAGCCCAACATTGTTGAAGATGTGACAATAAATAATAATTTATGCAAAACATTTGTGTGATTACCTGAAAGTCCACCAGAGGGTTTGAAGCAGTTAAAATATTATGGCTATAAAGCAAAGTAGTTATTGTAAAAAATTTTTTTATCATCGTTTTATTGTGAAAGTGCCATAGCCTAAAATAAAAGGTCAGCATTTTGATCAGTTTTTAACTTTGTGTGAATTTTTTAATATTCTATAATCATTTTAACGAAGATTACACTATATCTTCAAGCCAACTTGCTGTTACTTCTGAGGATTGTGAAAAGGATAAAAGAAGTAGATTCAAAAAAAATTATATATTTTTTTATGTAAGTCTTTTAAAACTTCAGAATGAAAATAATCCTGGGTTAAGTCATCTTTATGTAAATATTGTTTGATTTTTATGCAAAAATAATTGCTCGTTAAAAATTGTATTCCCAAGTTCTATTTTATAATGATCACTAGTATGTTTAATAAATTATTATTGTAAATTTAAAAATGATATGATTTGGGATATTTGTTGTCATTTTTCTCACCATTATATTTTGTGAAGTGCAACAGTGTTCCAAAAACATTAAAACAAATATTTCAGTATATGAAGTGTTTAAGAGAACATTTCACATAGAAGACAATTTTTAGGTTAAATTTTGTATAGAATTTAGAAATTACTCTAGAAATTGTTAGCTCTACTTAATACAATAGATTATACCAAGGCAATTCACTATACCAAGGTATAGTGAATTAAAAGGAAAAGAAGTTAAGAGTAGTTGAAACTAAACATGTAGTTAACTAATAGGATAATTACTAAAATGGGACAGTAATTGTAACTAGTAGTAATTAACTATATTGAGAACTACTTGTTAACTACACAGTTTAATTACATTAGCTGTTAACTACTGTCCATCTCTAATTTTGAAGCTTTTTTTCTTTTTTACAGAAATGTCTTCTATAAGTTCTGAAATATAACAAAACCAGATTTGGTTGCATTCGGACTCAAATGTCACTAGACAATGGTGAATCTCATCTGTTATATGTAATGAATAAACTTCAACTTTACTTCCAACAGTGAAAGTTTTATCAAAATTACATATCTTGAAGCAATATGAAGCCTAGTTGATGTAATTTGTGGTAGGCACTTGCAGACGTTTTAAGTTTAAATCTGGCTTTGGATTGGTCTATTCTAATAGATGTTTCTAAAAGTAATTAATAATTAAAATATTTGTTATAATTATTAAAATTCTTGTCAGATGATGGCTATCTCTAGACCAAATTTCTAAATGAATTAATTTTTTGTTCTGTATATACTGAAATAAACTGATGATGTTTAGTTAGTTTATAAAAGTAACTAAACTAGAGTGTGCTAATAAACAATAATTAATAAATTAACTCTTCTCAAAAATATAAATTTATAATGCAACAGATAGTAACAAGTTGCCAATTTCTTGCAAAATAAGGGATATCCAAGAATTAAAGATAACAATTTGACACCTAAATTACATTCTTATCGATTGTTTGCTTGCAGACAGTTATATTTAATTAACTAGATATGTGGTCTGTTTATAAAATGTGTGAAGGTTTTGTTTTTAGCTGTTTAGTTAATATGAAGACAAAAAATAATAATGCATTTACTGAGCACTTAACTGCATTTCTACAGAAATTTGAGTAGATTTAATATGGAAAAAACCACAAAACATTTCATTAAAGAAAACAAGCACAGCAAAATCATTCATAGAATCATTAGTAGATATAAAGCACTAATGAAATAAAATTCAAGAAAAATTCTGACTGTCCTGCAAAGATTTCATCTAAGAAAGAGATACAATTAGAGAACTGTTTTGATGTGGATCTGAATTTTTCTGTTCGTGAGGCAGCAAGAAGATTCAAGTTGAAAATTATGGCAAGAGTAAAAAAACAAATATGCAGGTGACAAAGAAGCACTTGCAAAAATTGGTCTTTGAAAAGTCCACAATAAATGTTGCTAGAAAATTTTAAAACTGGATAATAAGATTTATGTTCGTAATGGTCAAATAAATGTTCCAAGTTGGAAATATTTCCAAAGCTCAACCTAGAGCAAGTGGATTTTCAAACATGTTTAAGGGAAAAACCAAATTTCTGAAGCAACATTTGATTTGGCAAGCAATAAATGAGGATGGTAATGTATCACATTCTTATCTTGCACAGCATTCTTATCATTCATAGAACTCTGTACTTACTAAATTGTACTGTATTTAGAGCAATTACTTTTATTTATCTTGCTGTTGACAAAATGCAAAAAATGGTTTTTAACTATGTTTCTATATAGATAATTAACCTTTATCATCATTAAATTAACTTCAAATTTATAAATTTTTTAAATTGTTTCATTATCAAATTTTTATATTATATATTTCCAATACTTATATTTTAATTTTTAATTTAATGAAGTATGAATTGGTTTTATTCTTTGAAATTATAATTTTTAATTTCAATAAATAAAAATTTAAACAATAAATTAAATGCATTAAATTTTTATCTGTTTTGTAGGAAGAGAAGGAGAAAAAAAAGCAAGAACAATTAAATAGAAAAGCTGCTCTTAAAGCAGCCTATGAGGAAGAAATGAGTTCATTAAAAAGTAGTAAGCCATTATCACAAAGTAAAGTTACACATGCTGATACAGCAGCAATTAGAAAAGTTAAAAGGTAAGTTTTAATTAATGCAAAAAATAAATATGATATATAAAGATTAAAAATTTATTTAAGACTATTAGAAAAGAAGTTTCCAGTATATAATGTAAATATTTCTGAATTACATATCAAGTGTCAAGACATGACTTTTTATTATGATTTGGCATACAAAATATGTTCTATAGGTTATTGATGAAGGATTTGTACGAGTGTGTTTTTTTCCCTCCCCTGTGGGTACTAAGAGGGCTTCTTTCAGACTTGTCATAGATTCAGCCAGCTCTATGATAGTGTGGTAAGGTGGTATGGGATAGGACTTGATATATTTGGGACAGACTGCCCTTAATAAAAATTCCTGGGACTTTTGACTCGTCTGGATTTGATTTAAGGTTTCCTAGAGAAGTAAGCTGATACTTTAACTGACATCCAGCCAATAGATTTATGTACCAGGTTGTTCAATAAGTTTTGTCGTTCGATAAGAGGTGGCGCTACTAGGAGCGTCACTTTATTATTCTATAAATAGTACTACTATTTCATAAACACGTGTCAAGTTTCAAGTAGATCCGTCAACTCATTGTATATTTGCAGCTGTTCAAAGTCGACGTGTCATTGTATTTTTTTACGATGGAAAAAATCGAATATCGTGCAGTGATAAAATTCTTATTTTTGGAAGGTGTAGCACCAAAACAAATTCATGAACGATTGTTAAAAGTGTATAAGGACTCTTCACCTTCAATCAGAACAGTAGAAAGATGGGTTGCTGAATTTAAACGTGGTCGTACGAGTCTTGAAGACGATCCACGTGAAGGGCGTCCAAAAAGTGCATCAACACCAGAAATCGTAGCAAAAATACAGCATATGGTTTTGGAAGATCGTCGATTAACCGAGAGAGATTTAGTAGAAGCCCTAGGGATTTCGTTAGGCAGTGTGAGCAATATTTTGGCTGAAGTTTTGGGTTACAGAAAGCTGTGTGCACAATGGGTGCCGCATTCGTTAACTATGGAACAAAAACACATTCGAATGCAACTTTCTCAGCAACATTTGGAGCGTTTTAGAAAGGATAAAAAGGATTTTGTGCGTCGTTTCATCACTATGGATGAGACATGGGTCTACCACCATGATCCTGAATCAAAACAAGAGGCTAAAGAGTGGTGTGAACCCGGTACTTCGGCTCCGAAGCGTGTTAGGGTCCAGAAATCGGCCAAGAAGGTGTTAGCATCAGTTTTTTGGGATGCAAAAGGAATTTTGTTTGTGGATTACCTCCAAACTGGTAAAACAATAAACTCAGATTATTATTGTAACCTTTTGGACCAGCTAGATGTAAAAATTCGTGAGAAAAGACCTGGTTTAAAAAAGAAAAAAATCATTTTTCATCAAGACAACGCCCCCTCTCACACAGCTCAAAAAACCATTGCGAAAATCAGTAAATTAAAATACGAATTGTTGCAACATCCTCCCTATTCGCCAGATTTAGCTCCCTCTGACTTCTGGCTGTTCTCACATCTAAAAAAATTCATGCGTGGGAAACGATTTTCATCGAACGAAGAGGTAATAGCAGCCGTGGATGCGTATTTCGACAGTCTTCCGGATTCTCACTTTAGGGATGGAATCCATAAATTAGAAGATCACTGGAACAAGTGTATTGAAGTTCAGGGAGATTATATTGAATAATAAAATGTATTTCAAACCATAAAATCGTGTTTTTCTTATCGAACGACAAAACTTATTGAACAACCTGGTATTATAAAATTATAATTCATTTAAATCCTAATTGTTGCAATTTAACTATTAATTTACTAAATGGTTATTAAAGTTTTTATTTAGATACCATAAATAATTTATAATATAATGGTTATTCTATGATATAAATATATTCTATTATTACTAGCAAGCATGATACAATCATTGAATTTTTAAATCCAGATGTGCTCTAAGTACTTGAAATCATCAATTAAATCTTTGAAGCAGGTGGGAAATTGTAGCACTGTAGTACAATGTTAGACTTGTATGATTGGCAGAATATAGATCATTTGTCATAAACATGCCATAGATGGAACTCTTAGTTTGATTGGCTGTGTGTGACACTCAGAAAAAACTGGAAGTGCTACCATTTCCCTCCTGCTTCAAAGATTTAATTGATGATTTCAAGTATTTAGAGCACATTTGGTTCTAAAAATTCAATGATTGTATCATGCTTGCTAGTAATAATAGAAAATATTTATATTATATTTATATTATAGAATAACCATTATAACTTAGCATATAGGTGATAGTAAATAAAGCAAACAAATGATAAATGTTTTCTAATCACTATATAACAATTTCAAGTTTTCATTTCATAAATCTAAAATTTTCCAGCTTAATCTATACATTTTAGTGAATTACAAAGCAATACTTGTTGTTTTAAAATTTTTAAGTACATCAAACATTCAAACTGCTGTTATAAATTTTGCAAAGTTGAAAAATGTCTTTGAATGTTTCATAGCAGACAGATTTTCAATTAACAGTAACAAAGTTAATGTAATATTATTTTTACATTATATATTTATATAATGTTATCTTGCTAATTCAAACTCTGCTTAATCTGATCAATTTTACTAAATTAGTAGTAAATTTTATAGAGTTTTGAATTGTATTTAATTATAAATTAATGCAAATATACAGTACCATGTATTAAATATAATAGTGAAAATTTCTTGTAAAAACTCATACGGAATTTGTTCTTATAAAATTTCCAGTTTAATAGACAAATTAATGAAAAATTTGATGATGACATTGAAACTTTTTCTAGTAATTGCAGCATAGCACTTAACAAACAAATATTAAAGTAAATTTTGCATTTGAACAGCATATCTTTTGGTATAGATAATCATTGATTTCAGAACTTGATAGTATTTTTTCAAAAAATGATGAATTTATAAAATTAACGTATTTTACCCATTTTCAAATATATATATATATTATAAAATACATTTTAAAAAGTTTTTTAAATTACCTGTATTTTACTACAGTTTTTTCTTCTGTTTCATTATATATTATCTCATTATTTCAGACAGTTATATATAATAATTGGCTCAGATTAACTAGAATGACTATTGCACTCTAGTTATACATAATGAATTTACTCTAAAATATAGAATAATAAATAATTTCTATACTGTATAATCATTCATTCATAGTTAAGTTGATTTAAAATTGTTTCTAATTAATGATATATTAGTTTTATTTTAAAATAAAAGCAAATTTGATTTTTATTTATTTTTTTTTCAGAATTTTTAATTAATATTAACTTTAAAATTTCTACTTTTTTATTTCATAATATGAATTTATAAATTAAATAATTTTAATTTACAATAATAGAGTATGTTGAATTAGAATATTAAAAAAAAATTTAATTATTTTAGCTGAGGAGACTGCTGAAAAGGAACTTTTGCATGATGAAAAACCATTAGAGGAAAATGTTAATAGGCTCAGGTTTGAAGGAGAAGAAGCTCGTAATATTGAAGAGGCAATTTCAATTCTTAGGTATGTCAAGTGTTTTATTTTGTAAAACAATGATTGTTGAACTGTATTAACAAATCTGCTCATATATTTTAAAGAAAAAAAAGTATGTTGAACTGATTTATTTGATTCAGAAAGTATTAGTCATAACAACATTATAATTATCTGTATATTTATAAAACAATTGTGTGATTACAATAAAAAAAATCCAGCAGTGAATTGCATAAAATTTCTGGCCAAGCTTTTATGTTATGAGATTTTTATTTAAAAAATTTTTTGCATTATTAATTTTATAAAATGGTAAAAAGCTTAATTTTGAGGGTAGAAATGAGTTTTATATAAAAAATTGTAAATGCTAATAATAAGTAAAATCTTTATTAAGTCTGACCCCACTCAAGATATGACACATGATCACTTCTATCTTCCCACTCCTTTTACCTAACCAAAATTTAATGACATCAGTCCCTCAATACACATCATCATAACAGCCTGACAAGTAATAAGAAATTTATGAAACATATCTTAATTTTATTCATTATATTTTTTCATTACCAGACATATTGTCATATCTGTTTAAAAGTTAATAAAATATTAAAAGTAAAATATAAATAAATTAAATTTGATTTCATATGTATTATTTCTTTTATATGTATGTGCACATTATTAGATACATATTTAAATAAACTTTTTTTCTTAAAGTTATATGAGTAGATTTATAACTAAATGTAAATTCTTTAGAAGAGCATCTCAGTTTATTTCTTAATTTCCTTTAAGACTGTTTTTTTATTTTTGAACTTTTTTCTTGTGGACACTAAGAGGTCTTTTACCATGCCCTTTGTGGCATATGTTATTATATCACAATAGAGTGCCTGTGACAAATGGAGCATGACATATCTAGGACAGACTACCTCTTAAAAATTACTAGGATTTTTTTTTTTTTTTTGGCCTACTTGGATTTGATTCCAGGTCCCCAGAATGATATCCTGGATGATGATGCCTTAATTGTCTTGGCCAGGGGTGGCCAACAATTTTTGCCCCCGGGTTGAATTGGAAAGAAGACTTTTTCCACGGGCAAACCAGAGGCTGCTCTAGGAAGATTTTGAGGTGGTGTGAGATCTCATTGTGGTGTCACCCAGTAGAGACTAAATTGTATATAGAGATTACAGATACATTTTTCACATTATCATGTTTTATCAATGTTCTACGCTGTACTCAAGAGATTTGTAATGGAGCGTTAACTCTAAATGCATAGTGAGTTGTTGTTGATTCTTTTTTTTTTTCACCGAGCTATTCGGACTTGAGTGGCTAATATTGAAAGATTAATCGCGGGCCACATAAATTCATTAGATGGGCCGTTTGTTGGCCATGCCTGGTCTTGGCTATCTAGCTAATAACTTTAAACTTTATAAGTATGGTAAATTATGCTTTTTTTACCTAATCCATGTCATTCTGTATAATGTCACATCAATGTGATATTGTCTATTTTTACTAATTAACATTTTAAGTAACAAATATTTATTTAAATCATTACTACAGTAGTCTCTCGTTATATTGCGCTTGTCGGAAGACATGTAAAAAGCACGATATATCCAGCGGCGCAAAGTAACCGAGTACTAAAAATTCTAGGCTTTTTCTAAACAGATTATACATGCTATGGAATCTCTATTCTCTATTCTTTCATCAGCAAGTGTTTCTGATATAAAATAAGATTAGTTTTATAATACTGAATTTTATTCTTAGTTATATCGATTAATTGACGTTTACATAAACAGAACACCCATTTAGCGTTATTGTTTTTTTAACAATGACATTTAAAGACAAATAATGTGGATATAAAAACAAAAATTGGTTGCGATTTTATTATACAGTACTATATTTCACAATAAACTGATTATTAAAAATTTTTATAATTTTCAAAAAAAGTTATAAAGACGGCAATAGAAAATTTAAAAAATAAATATTGAACATATAATACAACATCAAAACTTATAAAATTACAGAGTAAAAATTCTCTAAAAAGCAAAATAAAGTTACTGCTGTGTAAAAATTTGAGATCTTTCTGTTCAGAAGTAAAAGATAAATGTTTTCCTTAACCATTACCCAATGAATTCGAAATTTCTCACCTTTGTGTGAATTGACGGTATTGAGTCAGTTCACATAAATATGAAATTTCGAATTCACAGAAACTTGTAAAAGGAGACCAGTACTTAAAATCAATAAATAAACAACTTTTCTCTTACTTGTTAGCATCTTATAATTACTTATTAATTTAATTTATCCTATTTGTTGATTTAAATTTATTTTAAAATATTTTCTTTCTAGCATAAAAAGCCCAAACGTTGATCAACATCCTGAACGGAGAATGAAGGCGGCATTTCAAGCCTATGAAAGTGTCAACTTACCTAGACTTAAAGCAGAAAATCCAAATTTGAGGTTATCTCAGTTAAAGCAAATGTTAAAAAAAGATTGGATGAAATCCCCAGAAAATCCCTTTAATCAACAAACAGCTCCTTATAATTCAAAATCATGAAGCATATAATTAAATAGTTTTCAATTGAGTTTAAATCAGAAATTATAATGTAACATCATTTATTAAATTTAAATTTTTTTGTGGATTTCAGAATCATATTTACTAAAATATTTTAAAAATTTTCTCAAAAGAATTATTTTATTAAAACTAAAATTTATAACAACTACATAAGAAGTAAAATAATTTACAAGTTCAGTGGTGTTTTCTTTACATAACATATTAAAGCAATAAAAAGTAACATATGAGAGAAAATAATTTTGAATATGTTTCTTTATATTTTTATTTGAATTTTAATTATTTTTATGTTGATATTTTATTTGTTACAATTATGAATTTTCAAATATTTTATATTTTCTTATAAGTTTGTTTGTTTATTATTTTATTTTTATCATAAAATAATTTTATTGAAAGATATAAAGCAATTTAACTTATTAAATTATTGCATCTTGAGCTAAAAAGTCAAAGATCATTTAATATAATTATTAAATTCATGATTAATGAAAAAATTACAAAATTTAAATAATCATAAGAGTTTGAAAATTCAGTGTTGACAAAATATATTTAATTGTAATTTTCCAGTAACTACTAAATATTAAAATTTAAACAAATTTGAAAATCGTAACAACAGATATCAATTTAAGATTAAATAACATTACAACTTTGCAACTATTTTTTCACACTAATAAAGAATGCTGTCTTGGGATATTGACTTGAATAAAACTTGCAATAATTATGCATTATAATTAAATTTGTTAACTACTGTTTCAGAATATAGAACCATTTTTATAAAGTTTTTAAAGGTAGAAGTTGCTAAAAGTGTAATTCTTCTTAAGCTTATTCTATGAATATTATTGGATACAAGGTCTTTTTACAGTCTAGTATATAATGAGACAATCTAGAAGTTACAATGAGAACTCTGATTATACCATTTCATATCAACATTGATCCAGCTTTTTACATTTCTGTATCTTTAATTGCACACAGAAAATGTTCCAATTTTTTTCACATTATATGACACTGATCACGTAGCATGTATTGTGAAACATATTTTAATCATCTGTGAGTATTGTGTCAATAAGATGTTTTTCAGTAAGATTTGTTTAATCATAATTGAGTAATATAGATATAAATCACCTTTATTTTCAGTAATTAATTTATAGTTTTGGGCATTGGTTTTGATTTTTAATCCATTCTGGCCAATTTCATTGCAAATCACTTGTTTGTAATAGACAAAATTGAATTGAAGTTAAACCTGAGATAATGTCTTATGTTAACAAGTCGAATTTAATCCAATCTTATGCATTTTTTAATTATTAAATTCCCTAGCAACATAACACGTAGAATTTAATATGCTTCTTCAATGCCTTTTATCAAAACTTTGTTGGCTTTTATCTTTTAAATTTTTTCCCATTAAACGTATTTCTAATTAAATCACTGAAAATCTGTTAACTTATTAGTACCTGAGTCATTTAGTTCTACAGTAGAGCCTCGATTATCTGACCCCCGATTAACCGACCGTCCTAGTCGGCAAATTTCAAATGTCCGCTAGTGATGGTGCTACAATATTTGGCTATGTCTTGGCTACTTTAATATTATTTTTACGTGTTTTAGCTGGCAAGACTCATTCGACCATGAAAGGGAGCCAGTATTTAAACGAGGCTTAATTTTATAATTTTTAACGATACAATAGCGACGATTATTATTTTAAAAAATTTTTGTTAGGCTTAACATCGATGAAAATTCAACGCGAAGTAGGTTAATAGCGATATACTAATATACT